TCTAAAAAAATTAAGCGGAGCGAAAGTGCATAGTCGGGACTCCGTGCACGGTACCAAAAAGCATTGAAAGTGAGAAAAGCTCAAGTCCACAGTAATTTCACCTTCATAACAGAAATCTTTTTCAGAAAAAACTGAAGCGAAATCTTAAATCGAGCCTTTAAGAGTTTAAAAAGAACGAGATCAAAAAACTAATTTAGACCTTTACTTGAAAAGTTTTTTTATAAGAAAGAACATTTTAATTGCTATCCTTTCGGAAAAGTGGCAACCGCTTTCAATTTTTTCAACACACATTTTAAACCAGCAATTCTGAGAGTTTCAAAAACATCCTTTTTAAATGAACGATAACGCGTTCCCCAGCTTAAAAAACCGGAAACATCTCTCAAAATTTTGCGTGATAATCTGTCCTCGAAAACTGTCATTAAATTTTTAAAAAAAAATAATAAATGAGTAAAATGAAAAAAAAGACTACGAAGTAAAACTAAACTGTGAAATCTGACCTTGCAAATGACGATCGCCTTCAATGCAAATATTATCCTTTACCCGTTCAGCTACTGAAGGCGAATCAGCTGTGGAATCCGAATGAGCTTTCATGCATCTTCCACGTTCTCCTTATTTTGTTTTCCCTTGCGTTCTTTCATTCTTACACAACACTTTCGACCTTATCTTTTTAGTCAAACACAGTATATTTTACGACAACAGAAATTTGAGTTTGGTACATGTTTTCAACGGAAGTTGCAAATTAACAGACAAACTTCGCATTCCAACGTTTGTAGCATCTATACCACAAAAAAGCTGGGTAATATTTAGTATCAAGCAATTACGCTGTTGATTCACTTGATAAGGTAAGCAATTAAGCAGTTTGACTACTGGGCCACTCAAAGTGGTTATTTTTAACTAGATTTTACAGGGGGGTTTTTGGAAAATACAGTTGTGAATCAGCTTCCACGCTCAAAGTATTTGTATCTCCAAATCCTATGGATAGTTTATACGAATGAATCTGTTACTTCCTTGATATGACACAAATTATTCATAATTTTAAAGATATTCGTAGAAAGAATACAATTTAAAAAATTTATTTATTTGCTAACACATTCACTGCTATAAGTCTTCTTTCCCGAAAAAAGATGTTTCTTTCGAAGCATCTTTAAAAGTTCACTAAGTGAAGATCGCCTTTCTGTTGTAGTCGATAAATACTCCTTTATCAAATTTGCCATTTCTATACTTGTCCACTCAGGAATGCTGAGAGGAAAGTTACCAAAAAAAAAGTATGTCAATATCAGTAATGGCAATGTGGAAAATTTTTATTACTAATAGTAGACGATAATACATGAATGTTTTGGTAGTTATCTGTTTATTTATCTCGAGAGCACGAATTGTTATTGCTCAAAAATTTTGTGAATTATATTTTTACTCTATACTTTTAGTCCAGATACCCGTTTCTCATCTCTTCATTCCGAAAAAAAAACAGAAGGGGCAGCGGAAAATGATACAGCAACAAAAGTACATTGCCATTATTTGCATTACTCGACTGATGTCAATGATACGGGGCTCAGCTCAAAAAGGATAAATGAAAATTAAAGATAAATTTTTGAAAGCTTTGTACTCTATTTTCGGCAGCTCCAAACCAGCACAGTATCACCATTGTACGACAAGAAATTTTTGATCAGAAAAATTGAACGCAGACGATTCGATTTTAAGACCTATAGATCAGCAAAGGCAGCCTATATGGACGCTGAGTTTGAGAGATGGAAAATCGCAAGGTCTAAAGAGCGCTTATACTAAAAATAAGGTTTATTTTATTCTGCAAATTTTACATTTTCAGACGGGCCAAAATTTTCATAGCAGCTCATATGCATGGAAATCCATGAAATTCCTCATCGAGAGATTAACAGTCTGTATCTTTTCTTGATTTTTAAAAAAAATTTACGAAAATTTCACGCGCCGCATTATACAATTGATGTTTTTTGACAAACCTTCAAAAATGCTTTAATGTAAAGAACCTAGCATAATTTTTACTTTTTATCTCACTACGTTCCAGTATACCAGTTAACAAACGTTAACTTCTGTTAATTCTAGTTTTCTTGAAACTTTTTTTCTTTGTTCAATTTCTTTTCTACAAGAACTATAAAGCAACAGCCTATCTTCTTTATGAGCAAAAAGTATCAGTTATTTAAATATGCAGTATTACCAGCAGTTGTTAGCCGAATAGCAATAAAATTGCTTTTTTACGTCAGTATTTGCAGCTATTATCAAGGCTCAATAACAATGTACCGCACAAGCGTAAGCACCAATCAGAGGATATCATATACAGTTGTCACCTTTTTACTTCCATTGCCGTTTTCTGCAGAAAGCAGGTTTGTTTACCCCACTTGTACCAGTCTCTTGTCCTCGGGCTGTGTTCGTTCCTCCTCTTCCCTCCAAACTCTTATTACTTCTTTCGTTAGTGTAAAGGAGAAGCGAACAGCCAATAGTAATACCTGAATGGCAGCATCCACAATTTCCTTCACCTTACTTACTTATGAGGATTCAAACGTAAGATGAGACTTTTGCAAGTCTCAGATTTATTCCTCGACGGTTTCTTTGCTATTCTTTAATTCTCTAGCGGATCAGCATCTCAGGCAATTTTCTATCAACTTTGTATAGCACTTCAACTCCCAAAAATTTTGACGAAAGATTTTTTTTGTAATAGGTGAACCATTTATGCACTTATTCGTCAACTTTCCATTTCGATCTCACAAATATAAGTAAGCTAGGAAAAAAACTTAAATATTCAGCTACTAAAAATTGGAAGTGTAGAAGAACAGTCTTCTAGTATTATGTTGAAACAACAACTCTTGAGTACCATATGTAAATAAAGAAGAAATTGAGCTGTCGGCAAAACAAAAGGTTATATCGTTTTCCGGTATGTTGAAGTTTGGCAGCTTTACGAGTTTTACTTTTTGCCAACGTTGTCTTTTTGATCTATTACACTGCAGTATTTCACTGCTAACGATAAATTGCAGTTGCCAGTCATATAGTTACATTAATTCAGAAGAAATTCCACTCAATTTAATAAATCACTGTTCTTAAGAAGCGACAAAAAATAATCCTCAAAAACAAAGTAGACTCAAATTCAGGTTATTCCGCCCATTTAAAACAGTAATTTTTTTTTT